GGGGGTCCCAATATCCCCTTCAAGGGCATGTCTTCCAGTAACCTGACTTCCTTCTACGAGGCTCCCCTCCTTCAAGGTTCTCACACCTCTTGAAGGTCCCACAATCTCCCAGTGGTGCCATGGGCTGGGAACTGAGCTTTGACATCAGGCCTGGTGGCACATGCCTGTGGGAAGATTGCTAGGAGTTTGAAACAAGTCTGGGCTACATGAATTCAAGGCCTGAACTACATAGCAAGACCCTGTCTCCAAAAAATAAAAAAAAAAAAGCAGGGCTAGGGAGATAGCTCAATAGAATAAACGCTTGCCTGGCAAGTGCAAGGGCCTGAGTTCAATCCCCGGTGCATGCCTGTAATCCCAATACTTGGGAGGCTATAAAAAGGTGGATCACTATGAGTCTGATCAGGTAATGAGACCCTGAACACCCTGTAGACCCTTCCCTAAAATACAAAAAACAAATCAACACTAAGCACAATGTACTCTTGAGTAGTTGTTTGTTTAATGTCTGAGAAAGAGCTGGTGAGCTAGCTCAGCAGACTAAGTGCCTGCTTAGGCAAACACTGGAACCAGGGTTCGATCCCCAGCACCACATCCGTACTGCCCCCTACCCCCAACGTGTGCTGAGCTAGCCACTAAGACTGGGTGTGGTGGTGCATGCCTGTAATCCCAGCTCTCGGGAGGCTGAAAACAGGAGGATCACTGAGTCCTGAGCTGCATAGGGAGACCGTGTAACAAATACTGTAAAAAAAAAAAAAAAAAAAAAAAAAAAAAAAAATGCTAGGTGAAATAAACTCGATATGAAGGTTAAATGCTGTATGATTCCACTTATATGGAATATCTAGACTAAGTAGAATCTTGAAGGCAGAAAATAGAAATGATGGAGTTGTGGAATAAAAGTTACTGTCTGATAATTTTTGAGTTTTTTTGCAGAACTCTAGGATTGAATTCAGGCCCTTGCATTTGCCAGTGAAGCGCTTATTCCACTGAGCTATCTCCCCAGCCCTAATTTTTGAGTTATTTGGACCAATGAGTAAAGTTTTGATGATAGCAGTGAAGGATGTATGATATTGTGATACTGTGAATGTACAATACTGAGTCATATACTTTTTAAAAAAATGAATTTATGGGCTGGAGAGATGGCTCAGTGGTCTAAAGCACCTACTTGGAACAAGCTTGGCAAAGCACAGGGACCGCGGTTCAATCCTCCAGCACCACATGCCAGCC